AGTGGCCGGAGGTCTTCGCTTGTTCAAGTATTCGGACAGCTTTGCGGCCATGCCTTTCAGTTGTTTAAACGATTGTTGCTTGCTCAGTACTTTCAATATATAATTCTCCAATAATCGCGGAAATTCTACAGTACGATTTTTGCGCTTGCCAGGATGATTCGAAGCTTTCAATGCCCCGGACTCAACGTCTTCCCGTAAACGACTGTCCAGTACAACACGTCCTGAACTGCCAGCGACTAAGGAAGCAGTGCATCTAACCCCATGAAACATTGGAAAACTCAAAACAGCACTAAAGCTACGTAAAATCATTTTTTCTTATACTTAAAAGTAACCACTGTCGGAAACAGTGACCGTATAGTCAGGAAACTTTACTCGTAACAGCTCGGCCGTCTTTGAATGATCAGCTTGACCATATCCCTAAAAGAATAAATTATACATGTACTGCATTTCACTGTAACAACAGAGCAGAAGCTTTTAAAAATATTTAATGAAATTTAGCGCCTCTGAAAACGCAAAATTTATAGCACCTGAAATAAGCAGAAATTCATATCCGGCCAGTATCATTACAAGTATTTAAACAGCGTAAGTCAAGATAGCAAGTTATGCACTTATTTGGTCGAGAAATCAGGGCGGGATTCGCCTGACGTACATTTTACGGCTCAATGTGCTAATCCGTTCATATTCGCATGGACTGATACTGATTTTCGATTCAGTTCAAGGAAGGAATAACACAGTATTATTCAATCACTATTAAGCCTACCCTTACACCCAATCATAAGTATTGTTGAGTGAATGCGTTATTTTACGTCGTGGCTCTGATGTAGGTTGAGGCTTAGACAGCAATGCGGTAAAAACCACACGTCATTAGTCTGCACTGAAAAACAATATATTTTAATTTGGTGGGGACGAATAACCATTCTAATTGGCAATACTGAAAAATTAGCGTAAAACACGGTTTACTCATGCACAACACTATGGTCAGTCCGGTGACTGACTAATACCAAAGTTTCTGTCCGTGTCTCAGGGGCTTTCTTCAAGGGAGGCTGGTAGTAAACTTTGTCAGCGTTACTGGTCATCCGCAGCAATCGATCGTTT